CTTTTTAAAGTGTGATTTGCCCCAGTCAGTTTAAAAAAGTAAAATGTGTATGCATCAATTGTGCTTTTTAAAGTGTGATAGCTCTGGAAATAAGTACTTCGGGTGCCTTTAATTGAAATTATCATGAGCACAATTAATTTTAAATCCATACATTACTTGTTTAAAATACGATTGTGTATTATATTAAAATAAAATAACAATTAATTCTATCTACGTGTGTGTATGGAATAATAATTGTGCTATTGTTTATTACTGTACCTATGTTTACGTAAAGTGCGAGTCAAGCCTCATGCAAATTTAGAATTCCCATTTATCTGACTACGCAGTCTAAAAGTCTTAGAGTTCTGATAATCTAAGCCGTTACATATACAATAATTACTTTACCGATGTTCGTTTAGCAAAATATCTAGTTAAACAAAACAAAAGGAAAAGAAAATTCAACTGCCAAGAACTAAAACTTTAATCTAAAAGTCTGAGCAAATATAAAACCCTTGATGAGGTATTTGTCAAACCTGCCCCTTGCCCCGCTTAGAAGAACGTGTTATAGACGTAGCCAGTCGCAATGAGGCCGAGAACCAGTAGGCACAGCATAATCATTATCTTCTTCTGCAGTGGACAAGACAAACACGACACATATTAACAACTAAGATTGCATGCGTGCGTTCGCGGAGCGTCCGCGCGTCGCAGTACGCGAAAATTACGCCTAAGCGGCGCGCGTGCGCGATCCCGTTCGCTCGCCGTGGGCGGTTTACCTTTGAGCATTCGAGTGTATCGCGTGACAGTTCAGAAGTTGCTAGCCACGTAGCCCACAACCACAATCCCCAATATCAGCAGACACAATAGGATCATGATCTTCTTCTGTTGACGTCATTTGGAGATGGTGACCATGCAACAGTACTCTTTACAAATATTCCAAGCTACTGGCACTGACATCCCATATACCAGTTTGTTCCCATGATGATCATTAGACAGATGTTAGGTATGTTAATAAAATTGGAATGAGATTAGTAAAATGGAACGCCATAATCTTACCGCAATATTTGTTAATACTATAACTTTAAAAAGAAGACGGAATTAAATCATTATCAAATAAATTTTATTATATTCACGATAGATCTTTGTCATCTTTGTTTTTTTATTCAAAATGGTTTGTCATTAAGCGAATACGAGTTCGAGATGCTATAGACATAAAAGTAGATTGTGGTTGTTCCGTTACGAGCGTTACGTTATAGATTATTCTCATGATGATCAATAATCTGCACCGATAAAATATCACGACCGATAGACTTCAAAATGATGTAAAACTGTCATAGGAAACTGGAGAATTGGCGCAAGTCACCAAAGAAAATCGTGCAGACTCACTATATTCCATTCATAATGGCAAACAATAGTATTTCCAATAAATAAGGACGAAATTAGTAAGATATTTAATAATAATAGGTACTTATTTTTTTTTTTTAATTGAAAGATCTATTGTGCTTATAGAAAAATTCGATACAAATCATGGTTTCAGTTGGCAGGGCATTCGTCGTTTGGAATAAATTATATACCACAATGGATAAAAATCTGGTGCAAATAACAACTTACCCGCCGTGCTTTGCTCTGATATTTCAAGGCTTCCTTCGTTTCTTTAGTTGCAGTCTCCACATATTCTGCAGCTTGAGTGACGTGGAATTCGACACGATCGATCATTTCTCCCTGTATACATTCCAATTACTAAAATGCTGCTTTTTAAATAAACATTGCAGGTAACATAATATTAAACAGACCTGGCTCTCAATGAGCGTTGCCATATCCATAAACATGTCATGAAGTTCGCGGATAGAAGTCTCCAGTTTGATGATGTCAGCGTGTCGGGCCTCGATGTCAGCCAGCGTTTGCTTCGCTTGTTGGGTATCCATGATGATCTGGAATATTATAATATAGAGAATAGAGCTTAATTGCCACATTTAATTAAATTTCACAATTATTAAAACCTTTATTCGTGTTAAAGGTTAAGTTCAATTTTATTTCATTTTTTCTATTAAGTTACCGACCCCTTGTGTGAACACAGCAGTGTTTGGTTGCTCTAGCATGTCTTCGAGCTCATCGTCAGTCGTTGCACGACCGGTTATCTCAAGCTGCCGTTGTATCCTCGCCTTGCACCGATCTCGGTAGTCCGTCTGCGTGCGATTGTACTCCGTCATCACCTCGACGAATTTGCGGGACAGCGTCGAGTGCTGCGTCTTCTTTATCCTGAGATCCGCTGATGTGTGTTGCCCTTCATCTTGTTCGATATTCTGCTCTATGTCTATACAAATAAATATCAATGTGAGAATGTTGTCAAAATTAATACCACGACTAGATATCATACGAGTTGAAAAGACTTACGTTTTAATTTTCCTCTGACTTTGTTGGCAGATTTCTTAATCTCTGCCATGAGATCTTCCAATTCTTGCTTCATTTCTGTAACAAGATTTCAGTAATCGTTATGTGATCCACAATTTATTTAGTTTGTTATTCAAGATTTTTCGTGCAAACATATTCTACATTCATAATGTTTCATATATGTATAATAACTTTATCGTTTAATATAGGTACTTACATCAAATCTAATTAGATCTCAAATTTCCCAAACTGTTAAAAAGCTTACTGGTCTTGAATAACAAACATTTAGATTGAAATTTAATTTTCTTATGCTCTTATCTTACCTTAAGATTTGCACGGTATTCATGAAGACTTAATAAAACCGAAATCAAAATAAATTCCTTAAAAACGCAGAAAATTACCTATACGTCACCTAGTAATTGTTTCAATCTACCCAATATGCGAAATTGATAGCTAGTGAGCAAAATAAGACTACGGTGTAAGTATACGATAAGGGGTACCAGCTGGTCCGTTGTTCGTCACATTTTGAGCTTTGATTGTTAAAACTAACAGCTAAAAAGGAATATAAGTAAAAACAACGTTACAGCAGAAAACACCGTTTATTTTATAATTATGAGAGAATTTCAGATTGATAACCTACATACAGAATATGACTATAAAACCAATCTAACTTGAATTTTACAAGTGTGTGTGTCCAGAATCTCACTTTCAACTCGTAATACAATAAATACATTAAAGATAGTAATTAATTACTCAGTGTTCCTTTATACGACGATTATAAGACAATTTATATTAGAGAAGAATAAATATTAACTTCTGAAATACAGGTACAAGAAACTCTTCCGTGAAACGGAAATTACTATTCTATTTGAACAGTTATAACTAAACTAGGTTTATGTATAAAAACCAACATGATTAAAAAAAATTATAAACTTTAAAAAGTATATTCTCAATGTTATTCTCATTATTCAACGCCAAGTAACATCAAGTAGTTTAAAAGAAAGCACGAATCGAGGATAACTTGATAGTTACGAACATTTAACTACAAGTTGATGTCTAGCGACTCTACTGATGAAAGAATGGCTTGTGAAGATGTAATACAATAATGCTCTTAGAATACAATATTTAAATATTAAGCTGACATGTAAAAGTACCAAATGTAGGAAGTACGTCCTATATTCGTGATACACTTGTTGGCGTCAACTAATGCCAGAAAACGTTTCATACTATTTTACAAATCGTTTTCATCAGTAAAAGGAGTTCTAAAGAGTGTAAGGTATAGTAAATTCATCAAGTCAAATGCATTTGTTTGTTCGTTGTTTTTTTAATACCTTCACAATACTGTAATACGATAAGACTTGACGTTCTTTAGAAAGGACACAGGAACAGATTTATTAGATAAAATCCTAATTCAATGAGACGAGTTTCAATCTACGCCTTCACTGAACATACTCTCCTCCAAAAACTTCATTCATTCGATATTGAACACAAAGTAGATGAATAAGCTTAATAAACATCCACTATAATTATTATTCGTGGTTTACTGTCAACACTTACTAGCTATATCTGTTATTGTAATAAAACGCTATAAGAATTGACACATAAGTATATAAACTATACTAATTGTGTACTTATACAAAATTAGCAATCCAACCAACAATATGCATACTATTGATTATGAAAATATCTATGCTTTACGATAACTCCGAGACGAGATGCTCGCGGCCCGTATTTCAATACTACCGCGACGCATATTTACAACTAGTAACAGAATGTAAATTGCTATATTTATAAGATAAACGTTATTGGAGTATTTAAGATCGTTATTGAAAGCCAACTAGAAGTTTGTTTACGCGTATTAACAATTTATATTACATACAGGTACGAAATGGCCACGAAGCACCTTACGTAAATTTCGAGCAAAGCTCTTCGTGCTGTATAGCTGCGGGTGTAAACCTCGTGACTTGTGCGGAGTGCTTTTGACGGAACCTGCATTACTGACATCAGCGTAGTAAGTCAATTGCCAGCACCCAAAAAACGCGACAGTAAATATTTTGCTTAGACTAGGAATATAATGGATTGGATGCAATTAGCATAAAGCCTGCGGCAAACGCGTGCCCCCGCCCGGCGCCCGGCGGCGCGGAAGACAACGAGACAATTGACTGGCGAGTGGAAATTGGTTGACCTCACGTTACGATGAAGCTACTCAGAGAAAAGGTATATATACCCTAATTTCTCTACTGTTACGAAGGCAACTAGATGAAATCCTACACTTAGGGATAAAATTCTAATTATGCTATAAATGTTAAAATTAACATTGCTTCATGTTATTCACGCGATGCGTCGTGTTCGTCGTGCACACTGGTCAATGAGCGGTTACAAGAGCAGTGTGGGCACAGGGCATGGCACTCGTTTGGCGGTATCAAGTGCCCTTGTTACTCTCGCGCACTGCACTATGTTGCCACGCTTGGACGTGACACGACTACATTTAATTCATTGCAAATATAATTTATAATTTATTCATACGCTTATAGGAAAACGCTACTAATATGTTGGTGCTTTAAATTTTCGAGTGATTGATCTATGACTGTAATCGTAATTATCAACAAAATAATGACTACTAACATTTACTTCTTATATTGCTGAAGGTCAGGTAGTAAATACTTTAATTCTTTTTATTTACCCTAGCTAAAACGGCTACAATATGTATTATTATACTGTACAACGAGGAGCGTCATAAGAGGTAAGAAATCAGAATATTTCACCTCATTCTATTATCCTGATCTGATAGAAAGCGCCAGAACATACAAGACTGTATCACTATTTCAGTATATTGAAAAGTTTAATTACTCTTACTGGTTATTAAAAGTTACACTCACAATAACAATTCATTAATTATTAAGTATATTATAATGTTAAAGTTAACTAAACAACAACTGCATCTACTATCACACATTCGAAAGTTAAAACAATTGTTACAATTGTAATCGAACATTATTGCTAGGGCGCCGGCGCGTACACAGTCGCGCCGCGCGATATGCGCACGGGCAGCAGCCGAACTCCACCACAACACTGCCGCCCTTTGTACTGTGCACCCTCTCCAGCGTCAGGAGATAGCCAACTACGTTCCCGACGCCCGCGTGCATGTGCACTGTGCACGCTACTCCTCACCTCCCCGCTTCGTCTTCACTAATTTGACGCCAGTCCATCATTCGATTCCCTGATCGTTTTGACGCAAGTTGATATTTACAATTTATGATCTGAATACTTGCAATTTTAAACGTCTGTTGTCCACCGGGCCGGTAGAAAGTAACACTTGACGATTGAATGTAATATTTCAAAACGCGCTACGTTTAACGTAGCTTAAGGATTGGTATCGAGGCGTTTGACACTGTTGGAACTTACGTTAATAGGTATATCGATGATTTAATTTAAAAAAAATCTTAATGGATATAAACTATTTAATTACGATACGATATTGTTTTAATCGTAAAGTAGGAAATTTTAAACGATATAGACTTAAGCTTGCTTTGCCAATTTTTCACCAAAATATTTTTTATAATTCCACTGGCGAACATTTATTTTTGGTGTTATTTTACGATTATAATTTCTATAATCAATATGAATAGTCAGCAGTGGATAGCTTGATTATAAAATTACTTCGAAAATGACGTCCTAATTATGGTATAAACTACGTACATACTAACTATGTTTTATGAATAATTGCATTCTAAAATTATGTATGTAAACAATTCTGATGTAACGAAAATATTAGGAATATATAAGATTTATGTTAAAGATAACTACTTATAATGTATATTAGAGCCAACGTTTAATATGATATACATATGATACTGATGAATGTACAATAAACTTCAACAATAGTGAGTCAGCGATAGGGCGACAACTCGGCGGGAGCGATTGGTGTATGCCGAGGTCGCTTTCGGGGACAAACTGAAGAAATAGTCGCAACGATATATAATAGGTGTAATAATGGCTGATTACTGGTTGATAGCTCGGTTGCAGCAGGCTGTCGCTTGCCAAGCGGGATGCAGGCACCAAATGAACTTATGCATTTCTTATTTGCTTGACAGTCCTAGAAAAGTTGAACAACCGTATTAGTTAAATTACTCTAAAGCAAAACTATCTTAAAAATAGCAATAACTTTGTTTTTGTCTGTAAATGTAGTTTGCCAGAAGGTAAGTGCTGAATAAAGTTACGTAACTATATAGTGTCAGTAGGTATTTATTTTATAGAAATGTGCAGAATAAGAAATTTGTGCAATAATTAAGTACTTTAATGCTATAGAAATTAACGCTGTGGAAGTCATTTGCGAAAAAAGTGTTCGGCGGTAAATTAGATCATAAAAAGTTTCAAAATTAATGATAACTATACAGATAGATCCAGAAAGAAAGAAATAGTTTACTTAACTTGAAAATTACTAAAATATTGAAGGAATAGAACTCTACACTAAGAAGTAAATATAGAGACAATCATGCATTATAATCACTTTTCTATACTTTTGCTGTTTTAAGTACCTACATACTAATATATATTTGGGAAGACGTTTCACAATTTTGAATATGTGCTAGTCAACATGTTGCATTGTTGAAAGGACTGATGTGGTGTTTTGTAATGATGTTTATGAATATTTCCATATGCAAATAATGCGTGGTGAAAAATGGTATCCCAGAATAAAATTTTATTTGAACAGAATTTACATTTATTGAATTGAATTGAAGTAAGTAAATACCAAATTCCATCACGTAAATACGACATTTCAGTAACATAAAATATATTGTTATTAACTTTTTAAAATGTGTATAAAACCCGCAATAGTATAAATCAGTTATATTAGTTAAACTTTCACATTGTTACATTATCATATAGAGGATCACGTTATTATAATATAATGTAATACTTATAACACGAATAATTTTATCTTTATATTATGATTATGACTTATGCTGTTAAATAGGAGCATAGAAACAGTGTAGCCAATTTCGACTTTTACACATATGGCAACACTACAAGGGGAATATTTTAATAGCAAAGAAGTTCGTCAAAGTGGACTGTATGGGTTACATCTCTTTAGGTTTAACGAACTACGTTTAACACTGACTTCAAAGTCCATTGTAATGTCACATGAAAAATAATGCTAATTTAATACACAAATTATGATTTAACAATTCATCCACATAATAATATGGTCATTATGATAATGTTGCAGCAATATTTTATTACCGCCCATTCGTAGAGGCGATATGATTTCAATAACAATACATTCTATATTGAATACATCCTTTACTAATCATGCCAATTTGTGTTCTTTAATGATTTATGTAGACAAATCTCGGCCCAATCTTGACTAAGAATCAAATGACAAAACACGAAGTTTGATCAAAATGTTATCATGATTACGATTAATATTTAATATAAAAATAAATCTGCGGCTACGTCATTAAAGTAAATAATGCAAAATCTAACTAGTGTTATAATGCCTTTAAAGCCCCTAGTATGCGATTAGGCGGGTGAAACCCTGAAAGTATTTGCCAAACCTGCCCCTTGCCCCGCTTAGAAGAACGTGTTATAGACGTAGCCAGTCGCAATGAGGCCAAGAACCAGTAGGCACAGCATAATCATTATCTTCTTCTGCAATGGACAAGACAAAGACGACACATATTAGTAGCTAGAATTGCATGCGAGCGTCCGTGAAGCGCGCGCGCGACACGACACGCTAAAATGCCGCGTGAGGCGGCGCGCACGCGCGTTCCTTCAGCTCGCCGTGCGCGGGTTACCTTTGAGCATTCGTGTGTCGCGCGCTTGTGGTCTCATATGAAGTAACTGGACACGTAGCCCACAACCACGAGTCCCAGTATCAGCAGACACACTAGGATCATGATCTTCTTCTGTTGATGTCAGTGGCGGATGGCGGCCATGCAACAGTACGCTTTACACATATCCCAGCGACTTGGGTCGCACTTGGGCGATCTCGTCATCTCATTTATAGAAGGTACGACAGTGAAAGTAGGAATGATAATAATGTTAAAATATGTATACAAGTACGGGCTTCGCATTTTGAATACAATTTTAGTTAACGGTTGCGTTATTTGCCTTGTCTCGGTAAAAAGGTGCAAAAATAAAAAAAAATAAAAACAGAAATAAAATAAATAAATGTAATTTCAAATTATCAACATATTTACATCTTAAGTTTCCTGGTTACACAATTTATAAACAATAAACCCTTTCGTTGTAAGGTGTACTAAATTATGAAGTTGATGAAGATATCTCCTTAGATATTCACGGGTGTGAATTTAATATAACATTTATGAAAATGGCATTAAATTAAATAATAATTCACAGTCTTTTCATTAAATTAATAGGTGCGCAAGATATTAGAACTACATACAGATTAGAATAAAACTATCCGCTACAATCAAAGAATTTGAAAGTTTTCTAAACTGACATTCCAGCAATCACAGTTGGTAAAATAATAGATAATAGATTAGAAATCGATTTAACCAATAATAGCACACAATAACATGTGAAAATTATATATTTGAACTTATGTGTATTATTCGGTCAAAAATTTGTTAAATTTAGTGTTGATAATAAAATGCTAATATTAAATGCAATATTTTATCAATTAAGAAACGCTGTCACTGTAAATGACAAACAAAATAACAATCATCAAACGATAGTCTCAATATAGTTAACAACATACATATTTGAAATATGTATGTGCAAATAAATATAACATCGTTTGAACGAATTAAATACAAACTTTTACAAGTAAAATACAAGCTTTATTAGAAATTGTGTTCCAGCTTCTTATAGTACTCATCAAATCGAGGAACTTTATTGTTTTCACAATGTGACAATAATCACAACAATATTGTTGATTAACGGAAAGTATGAAATAATAGTTGAATAATAAGTTACATAACGCACCCAAAGAATTAAAGTGATTTGAGTAAGAATTTAGAAGTTTTTCTATGTTCTCTAAATACAATTTCGATTTCTTATATAAGGTCAAAAGCACATCAAGTTTGATAATAAATATTTCAGTTCAACTCGTATGTTGCTTACGATAAGACCGTCCAAAGTATCAAGCTTGATGTGCACTAGACAGTACAAACAGAAAAACATTTAATATTGACCTTACGTCAATTTATTTCCTACATTTGAAACATAACATATACAAACTAAAACTCAACGCCCTGCTCGGACACGTATGTTCCGCGCCAAGGGCGCCTTCAAATAAAACGCTTATAGAAGCGCTGCAGTGCTGCGCTACTAATTTAATTTAGGTTAATAAAATAAACCTCTTTGAACACATCAGAAGTGAACGTAGATAGCATAAGCTGGTACCTCCATCGCCAAAATTTACAATTTTCAAAAATAGCCCTTACACTACAGGCATACCCCGGACACTCCATACAACGGTCGATAGTTATTAACCTAGTACCACTACTACTACTACATACAGGCGCAAATGTATGCGTGAAGTGGCAGGTTTACCCATCACTTTCTCGTACAATTACGATACGTGGTTAGAGCGGCATCATAGCGAAAATTCTTTAGCGAATGTGTTATCTTTAATTCTATTAATACAATCCTAACAATTACACATGTTTATTAGGTATTTATATCGATATAATATATTTTTCATTAATTCACCAACCAGAATAATATTGAAGATTTATTAAAAAAAATATATTAAAAGCAATTAAAATGTTGTATATTGGACAAGTACTTTTAGATAACCAAACTAAGGTATTTGAAATTGCGTGTCCAAGTTTATCGTTACCTAGTAAATAAATAGGTACATTCACTACGTAATATTTATCGGCAATACAAATTGGAAATTCAAGAACCTTTGTACATTAGCTCACGAAGTTATGACGTCTGATATAATAAATTTGTATTATATATTACTCTGCACTAAATAAATGAAGAAAACAATAATTGAAGAGTCTCACACATAACATTTTCATCTTAGTTTCATCTTACGGTAAACAAAAGAAACGCCTTTCTTTGTACTGTTTAGATGATTATAAACAGCCGTACAGCACAATTCACGACCATTATAAATAGTAACGTATAAATGTTATACGTTATGTTATACAATGATAACGTCGACAGCCTTGTTGTCGTTCAGTCAATGTGGCCGTCAATGTGCGGGGCATGGTGCGGTATATAAATATAGGGAGGGATGCAGAGTGTCCATTCTCGTTACTTTTTTGTTCTCTGCTACAGGGCAATAGCAATATACAGGGTATTTGTAAAGTGCGAACAACCTCTGTGGATGTATTTCTAATATCATCATAAACGCCAACTCTCCTGCGAAGTTGTTAGTATTTTACAAATAACCCTGTGTAAACATGGTACCAAACAATGCATATTTCAGAAAGACGAAATAGTGTTTTATAACAAGTTAGAGAAACTCCTCATACAAAAGTGTTATTACGCAATACACAAATAAATCTCGAGATATAGAGAGCTCTCTATACTAGTCCTACAATTACAATAATTAGTAAATAAATTATTTTAGATATTTTATTGATTAAATTTATTATTTTATTTTTGTTTATTAATTAACTTGTCTCTATTTCTAAGTACGCTCTCACAGAGCACATGTATTATTGCATGATCCCTAATAAATGAATACAGAATTTTCATACAATGTTTAGAAGCACAGCTGCAGCAGCGTCACAGTCGCGCCACTTTCGCAGACTAGATATTGTATGAAAATCAGTAGTGGCCCGGCTGCAGCGCCACCACAGATGCGCCATTGCAGCACTTCTACAAGTGTCTAATTTGAAGGCGCCCTAAGGGTACTACGCTGTGTCGATCTTGTTCGATCGAATTAAAATGACTCAAACAACACCTATACCCTGATGACCTGGGTCGCGGGTCTCTAAAAGATTCGATCATTTTTGTTCGATCCAGCAGCGTGCCATGCCCGCAAAATTAGACATGTTTATAACTTTAGAGGTTTTTAACAATTCACATCAGTCTGTAACTGACAATATTATTGTTGTCTCGTTCATTCTCAGGTGAAGTCCCACATCCCGGTTCGCCGTCTCAATCTTAGTCTTACACTGTTCGTTTGGGTTGAACATTTGTTCGATAGAGCATTCGTGTTCGTGAGCGACTAATGATCCGCTAAAGCATCGAACATACGATCGAATCATTTGACACCGGGTCATCAAGAATGATTGATCGACACAAGGCTATAAATGTACCACAAGGTGCAACAAAAAAGCGTAGATGAAGATTTTGGAAATAACAGAGTATAAGCTGCCTGCAATGAAGTGTATACGTAGCAAAATTTCTTATTAATCGTTTATTGAATTAGTATAATATTTGTCTCTTAAATATTACAAATAAGGACCATTATTTGTGCAAAATTCCTATGAAAAACGATTTTATATTTCGCTACATGTCTGTATACATTTAACTGCAGACGGCTTTAATAACCTTTTTTCAACACGTCGTATTAATTAGTAACATTACGAAAAAGCAGTGAAAAACTGTAAATAGAACAATGAACGCTGTCAATAAACAACAAATGAATACAGCTCATATCTAACTTTATATTTATATTTGTAAGGAAGAACCAAACATTGTACTATTGACTTTAAAATAACTATATCGACTATAAATTATATGATTCAAAACAATAATGCTATAGTTTCAATAAACAAAATCATAACAAAGCTAACAGAACATGGTACTAATATTATTTGATAAAAAGGAAAATATCCAAGAACTACAAATTGGGAGGTTATTGTAAAGCATCAATGTACTTCATAGTAAGTTGTGCCCCCCACTTGATATTTTAATTTTGTGATATTTTAATACCTATCTAAGACATACAAGTGTATACACCGATATTTTATTACATATGTCTTTATAATAACGATAATACAGTAATCTGGTAACACCAGAGAAGCTACATTTATATAAGAACTTACTAAACTAAAGCACAATCTATTTATTGCACTTTACACATATTGTCTTCAATTTATCTACCGCGTACGACTCTCAACAACTATTTTAATTTTGATAAGTTGATATAATATGCTGCGCTACGAAATCAGAACTCAAATACTATACCTCTAGAAAAATACAATTAAATAAGAAATGATTATTTTTTATTCAAGTATTTAGTAACTTTTGTGTGTAATGATGAATTATGTAACTCAATATTATTTTGAGGTTGTTCCATTACAAATGTTAATACAATACAAGAAATCTGCTATGACGTCATGAACACTGAATAACTCTCGTCTCATTATTTCTGCAATATAAATACTTGAATATTCTGCTATAGCGCTTAGTACTCACGAAAATTTGTTGGTCCTTCAACATGTAAATGTTCCATACAATAGAAAACAAAAATTAATGATTTTATACAACTATATAGTATCAGATTGTTTCAAGTTGATTTAACAACCGACGTGTATAAAAAGCGCTTATATAGATCCATTCTGCATGTAAACCTGTTTGAAGGTTAAACAATAGTGACAATGTTATTATAGCGTCCATTCCTGTTGTTCGGTGACGTCAGGCGCTGGTACTTCTCTTTCAATGGATCAATGTCGCGAGCAATATTATTAAGATAACCAGCGTAATAGACAGGCATATTATGATGAAGACTTTTTTCTGTAATGACAAAAGAAAAATAATAGAAACTAAATTATAGCGTTTTATAAAATGTATGGCGTCTGAAAACGAGTATGTTTTCGAAAAGATATTTTTGCATCGACCAACTCCAGTGAATCTTATTCAAAATAACTATAACTTTATTATCATTATCTAAATTTCACATTTGATCTACAAACTACAACTTATGAATCCACTACCACATTATTTATATGTCACTTTATTGTCAGTCAGCTACTTTCCCATACCCCAACTCTAAATAAATAATCCCACTTGCTAACTTTAAGTTTATTCTGGCAGTTTTAAGATTAGTTTTCTCCACCTTATTTTGGTGGAAAGTATTATTTCAATATTGTAGTGTAGTATATTATCATCAAATATTATTTAATATTCAAATGTAGTATCCTGAAATATTATCTAAAATTTCATGATATTTCACTCGACTACTCAAATAATAAAAATTATCACCGAAATTAGGTTGTGACTAACCTGAAAATTATCCATTCCTGCATTACGTCTAGGTTCAACTTAACACTATCATCTGGTTTATTTAGAAACAAATCATATTATTGTATTGCTGTATAGTAGGTACGCATTCGAATAAAACACACTCATATTTGCTTTTACACCAATTAAAGTTGCTTTTTCTTGACTACAGCTACTTTATAATATGTTACGAAGTCGTGATGGTTGCAATTCATTCAATTTAATTTAATTACCCGTAAGTTGAAAACAACAGAGAGTGAAAAACAGCTACAGTCTTCAAATTTAAGTCTATTTACTCAAAATAAACAACACCATACTGTCGAACACAGGGATAACAAATATCGCAAATTCGTAACATTGTATTTAAAAAAAACTTACATTATAAACAGACTCCGGCTTCATGCAGCAGCAGTTAACAAATCATGCGGTGACAAGTGCGTATGTCAACACAAAGTGGTTAATACTAACTACTATAAACAAAATCTACAACAAACATTGTTAAACAAGCAAGTCAGGCAATTGTTAGTACATTACAGCGTTACTGAAAATATGCATTAGTATAAATGTTATTGTTATATGTACAGAAAGTATATACATAAATACACTATCATTTTTCTCGTGACAGTTTTGTAAAACTCATTTCGAAAAGCATCAATTATTTGCATTTTAACTACAGCTTTGTCAAAAGGTTACGCCCGAGTTTGGAGAGCAATCAAAAAACCTATCGGTCCTTTGTGGGAGGCGAGATTTAAACATTTTTTAAGTTATGAAGACATCTCTGATATAGCCCGATCGTATTGAAAACTTGAGATAAAAACTATATTATGTACCGAGTAAAAAAATGAAGACGAAGTTTTATAGTTTTTTATTGCTTGCCCAAACTTGGGCGTACCTTTTGCCCCACCCTGTATTTGACAGTTACGTTGTTATTTTATTTGTAAATGACATTTTCCAACAATCACTTAATTTTCTCATATTATAATTGATGCTTTGCTTGGAAATATTACAAGTAGCAAGACAATTTGAAAGTCAAATTTACAGCAAAAACCACAGAGTTCATATCATTTTTTTTATATCCTGAACTGTTTTCTGATAGTTGCAGCTTACTTGAATTGCAATTAATGCTTGAAACATCGACTGTGATTGTATTGACACAAGCTGTGTTATACAAATAAAGCCATTGTCACCTATCACAAATAATTTTACGATAGCTTGTGGTCTCGCCTTACAACTTTGTTTAACAATTTGACACATAGTATATTGTAAAAACTTAAATAAGTACAAACAAAATCGGCTGTGAAGGGGATGTGATTATGTAGAAATGATCCACCTTAGCAAAGGTAATTTTTAGAGCAGAATATTCAAAACTGTTCAGAAATAGTAAAGCAACAGTCCTCAGTTTCTGCTTACGCAATTGCGCTTTTTCACATTTGCTTCTACAAGTTTTATAACGGAACTTTAATGGGAAGTTTACAATTTTCGTGACGGATTTGGAACGCGCGGATTGCTTGGCGGTGGAGTTCGCATTTTTAGCAGTTTAGTGTTAAGTGGAATTATGAAACAAAAAACAAGCATATTTACACTTACGCCTCCGCATACGCTTCCGTTTCCGCTAAGTTTTACTTTTGATATCTGTTTCCGTTATAACACTTCTGTTGCATCACTATTCAGAATACTGCTATATAGGTCGAAAATATAGGAGTTGGTGAGGTGGTGTTGTGTAGGACCATTTCTGCATTACTACGTCTCTGGTCGGTATTTTTTACACAGGCGATTGTGAAAATGTGACTGAAAGCCATATAATCAGTGCGATTATTAAGATCGTCAGCGTGACCGATAGGCATATTATGATGAAGGATAGTTTCTGAAAATGCAAAACAAATAAAGTTATAAAAAGGCCAAATAAAGTCAGAAAAAGGCAAAAGAAAGTCTTTGGCAGGTTAGATTGTGAAAATTTGGTAAGTAATGGAGTTGATTTGCAGTGAAGCATCTTGTAAATTCGTAGAAAGCCTTGTTAGTCCCTCAATATCAAAGTGACGTAATAAAAAAAACCATTTATGGGAAAACCGGTCGAAAATCATTTAAAAAAAGAAATAAGTTACGTGGCACCAGCTATATTAAACCTTAGGCTGCTGGTGCCAAATATGAAAATAATCCTATGGCAAAAAATAATACATCGCACATGACAACTAACATAGTATTATCTCAAAAGTTGCGTTAAAAATGTCCTGTCACTTCGAAATTAAATCGTATACGAATGACAAACATATAATGCAATTTTGGAGGTAATACTATGCTAGTTGTCATGTGCGACATTACTTTTATTTCGTACACTATTTTTAAATTTATATTGTCATTAAAAAATATTTTACTTTTCGAATTACGCACTTATTACTGAGGGTGTGATAATAATGTTAATTAAACAAAATTTAAATAATTAAGGTATATGAACCCATTACACGTACTTCATTGCCAAGACATTATGTTAATATATAATTTTGGATTTTAAAGTTTCTTTTAATATCCCACAACCAGCAAAGCTCGCACATTTTCACATACAAAATTCACAATGAGGCAAGCTGCTTAAATGCAATAGCAACATGTAACAATATGAAGAAGACATAATATGTATTATTGTATTTATATTTACATTATTGTATTGTATTTCAATAAATATTATAATGATAAATATGGTGGTACTAACATGTACTTGCTAAACATGCAGTTTTTTGTGCGTAAAAATAAAATTAAAAATTAAAAAAGTCCTAACGATAATAACTGAAAATTTTGAAGTATTCGACAGCGCTGGTATCTTTCTATTTGTCATACTTGGAAAGAATTTTCCGCAGTTTGTATAAGTCCCTTTTGTTAGTTTCCGTCGGGAGGCCCCAAAAGTCGTTTAAAGTAAGAATGGTAGATAGTTAAGAGTAGCAGTCCCCCAGTGAGCGAGCAGGTGAGCGTTGGTGTTTACCTTGCGCGCCTTCTGCGCCCATTTGTAGGCCTGCACGAGCTCGCCGCGGCCCGTCTCCACGTAGTCGGTGGACTGCGTCACGTGGTGCTCGATGCGATCTATCAGCTCGCCCTGCTCGCGCTAAAGTTCGTGGCGCTGGGAGGGGGCGGGACCGCGAACGCTGGACGCGCGGTTTGTACGTACGGACGGTATGGTACGGCCGATTGGTTCATACGGTTTAGTTAATGTGTTACAGCAACCGACCAAAGTTGAGCTGATACAAGAATGTTAAAAAAAGTCACAGAATAGTTGAAGATTAAAAAACAAAAACTAATAAAACACCCTAGATTATATTATTAAATAAATGTTAAGAAAATTCAGTAAAACGAACGTGTGTTATGACGAAAGATACATATGTACAATGACACCCTTAATTAAATACAGTTGTCGATTTAAAATAGTAAAATTACACCGAATAATGGTTGTTACATAAAAACGTGTCATGTTAACGTCGTTAAGCATATGTTACAGTTGTTATATAACAATTATCACCATCACCACAGAAGGCAAATTACGCACACAGAATGAAACAGTAAGTAAGTTAATACACAGAGTTAGATTAGGTTAATAAGCCCATTTCCATCGAGTGTTAAGTTGGAGCGACATGAAATAACAATGAATGGCACAACGGTTAAAGCTTGATTAACGTGAATACATAAATGGAAAAAATTAAAACATACAAAAAAAAGTGTGAACCAATCACCGAATCTTGAACGAAAACAAAATGCAGGATTTGAACGAAACGGTTCATTCACAAACGAGACATAACAGTGGCAGGATCTGGATTATAAGGCACGGGAGGAGGTCGGATAGGGCGAGGAGAAACAAAACAAAAACGCATTAGCAACGAATGAATTGACATTGGTTTGATGACAACTTACCCGTCGAGCTTTGCTCTGATATTTTAGGGCCTTCTTTGTGTCTTGTGTGGCAGTTTGGACATAGTCCACAGCGTGCTCTACATGATATTCAATGCGGTCGATCATTTCACCCTGCATCCATAGACTTCATTTAGACGTTTCATTAACACAATATTTTTCTACAGTATCGGTCTCGTTAGTATTTCAATTCAGTACGTTTTTGAAGAAGCGTAAAACGGGTTCGCTTATATAAACTAATTTGATAAAAATTAATAAGAGTGGTATTTGTGACCTGACTCTCGACGAGCATTGCCATGTCCATGAACATGTCGTGTAGCTCGCGGATGGACGTCTCCAGCTTGATAATGTCGGCATGTCGCGCCTCTATGTCCGCCAGCGTCTGTTTGGCCTGCTGCGTCTCCATTATGATCTGTAATGAACACCGAACATAATTTAGTAAATAATAATTATTATTAATAAATCTTTTAGTAAGACGTCTATAGCCTGTATTTTTTGAAGATGGAATAAAATGACAGTTCATTGCGCAAAAGTGTTGCTCGCTTGTCATTTTACTCCGTCTTCAAAGAAGGCAGACTATAGGGCCCACTTGTTAGTAATACAAAAAATACAAACTTCTATTGTTAATTAATAAAACAAAAATCATACGAGTCGCTCGAAGAGAATTAAAACTTGGAAGAAATGACGTACCAACGGTGAATTGAGCTTAGAAGCAAATATTTTTGGAACGCTGTTAGAACTTGAATCTCAAGTCTCAAGAGCAGTGATGCAGTCTTTTTGTGAGCAAACATCATGGATGCGCTGCAGTACAGTAAAATCAAGTACTGCAAAAATAAAACGCCCCGTTATATTATCAAATAGTTCTCGTCTAAGTTGAACACTTTTTAACAGGTTCTACTTTAATCGGCCAAAGACCTTTGTTGCATTGCTGTTAACTGTCATGAGAAGGCGGAATTTGAACACACTTTCTTCATTAAATGTCAAAAAGGCTATTCAGAATAAATAGAGCGCACGAAAATGAGACCGATTCAAAGTATTATATATCGACAGCAATGAGTGACGCTATCTATTGCTCGTCTTCATTGGCCATATTACGCTTGTCATTCACAGCATTTTAAATTCACTTAACCCGTAATGTACAGTGCTATCGCTGTAATTAACAACTACGTGTCATCCTGCACGTGTGATGTAGAATAACATCAGTTCATTGCAACATTTTTGATTTGCATAGTGTGTTGTCATTGTGATTAAATATCATATTTGTTTAACAAAATAAACATATTTCAAAGTAATATTAATGATTTCGAGAGGCAATAAGACTTGGGGCGGCTTTTGTCCGTGTCTGTATTTTTTCATATTTGCAGTAAGTGTCGTACTGAATCTTCGGGTTGACGAAAGGAGCCTCCCGACCTTACCACTCCTTTCCTGTACTTCTAGCGCACCCTAGGCAACAATCGGCGAGTACGTCACGCCGATTGGCAAATCCCTTCAGCACGATGGCAAGCATTATAGTGTATGCCATCGATACGATAAAAAGAAGATTGAATCTTTACAATATTATACAATGTTAGCCGGTTTTGGCGAGCTGTGGAATGCACGGCAGTTTAACTGTTTTAATGAAATACCCACTTATTGTTTTAGGTTAATTATTAATGTAGCTAAATTTTTAGTATGTAGAAATTATGTAGAAAGAAGATTAACTCTTTACAATATTATACAGTGTTAGCCGGTTTTGGCGAGCTGTGGAATGCACGGCACGACGATTGATGCACTTCAGTGTAATAATTAGTTTAACTGTTTTAATAAAATACCCACTTATTGTTTTAGATTAATTATTAGTGTAGCTTAATTTTTTAGTATGTGGAAATTGCGTAGACAGAAGATTAAATCTTTACATTATTATACAGTGTTAGCCGGTTTTGGCGAACTGTGGAATGCACGGCACGACGATTGATGCGCTTCGATGTAATAATTAGTTTTAACTGTTTTAATGAAATACCCAACTATTGTTTTAGATTAATTATTAGTGGAGCTTAATTTTTTAGTATATAGAAATTATGTATCTGGTTAGAGACGAATTCACCAATATTGCGTCAAACCAGTTATGGTTTTTACAATACTGTATGTATTTGATATTGATATATTTATTGGAATGTGCGTTAAATAAATAAAAAATAGTTCACTATGAGATAATGGTATCTGTAAATGGATCTCGAATTATAACAAATTATGGTATTAATTTGATAATAGAAGTAGTATAAGAAACTTACTCCCTGAGTGAACACGGCGGGATTAGGCTGTTCCAACATCTCTTCAAGCTCATCGTCTGTGGTGGTGCGGCCAGTGATCTCAAGTTGCCGCTGTATCCTGCTTTTGCAACGATCTCGGTAGTCGGTCTGCGTGCGGTTGTATTCCGTCATTACTTCCACGAACTTACGAGACAATGTCGAGTGTTGTGTCTTTCTTATCCTGAGATCCGCTGACGATTTGTTCGAGTGTTCCTCCTGTTCGATGTTCTGCTCTATGTCTGTAAATTAATGATGTTATATATTAATTCAATATCGGATAACATGACTCGAAGATCGAGGAATATCTTGATGTAACACTAACCGCATCATTACGAATACTATAGGTAGGTATGTGGTCTTAGTGAATATGTGTACATGCGATTTCCATGATCACTATGAATACTCGTATCTACATGTCATTTAAAAACTTTTGAAGAAAATATGTATTAATATTGTGAAAATCATTTTGTTTTTATACAAACTGGACGCGGCTAATCAAATCTTTTTTTATCTAAAGTTGTTCGTTATCATAAATGAAATCACCAACTGAAATATGATCGGACGTTTTTGTTAGATTCTGTATATAAAATTTAAAAAATTAAAAACAACATAGGCTAGCCAATTTTATGTTACAGATTTAAGGATCCATTGAGGTGTTGATAAAGTAATTAATTATCTGTGGATATCCTCTATACTTTCAAGGGATAATTATCCTTCTTTTGTGGATAACCGACAATGTTGAATAGCTTCGCTCTGTTTCAAGCATCGCGTCGTCTTTATTTTACAATGTTGTTAATTAACGCTTTTGAAGCTAACATTTTTAAGATACGCTCAACAACAACGTTACAGTTGTTCAGACAGGAATGTCCAATGATATTATACTTGTAAACGTCACACAATATACCCGTGTCAATAATCCATAAGTCTAAAAAGATCCTTTCTATTTATTGGCTTAGCAACGAGGCAACAAAGGCAACAATTGCCCACATTTATAAATATAAATTATTTTTATGTAATTTTTTTATCATAATACTTACGTTTTAATTTTCCTCTGACTTTGTTGGCAGTTTTCTTAATATCAGCCATGAGATCTTCTAATTCGTGCTTTGTTTCTGAAACAAAAAAGACATCATTTAGGAAACCGCCATTATCTGAAAGCGATAAATATAAATGGGTGGCTAGTTATGAATATATTCCGGCATAATAAATCACCCACACAATGAGGTGTGCTAGAACTATCGATTGGCTTGGTCGCTATTCTACAGAGATTGATTTTAATGTTTCAGACAAATAAAATACTTCGGTTTCATAGAAAGACAACTATTCTAAAATGCATACCAATATTGTACTATATCAAGCGTTTCTAAGAAACAAGCAAAATACATAATTTAAATATTCAAAATTCCCAGAAATGAGTGATCTCATTCCATAACACTGTTATGAAAATCAAATCGCTTGATTTAGTAATATGAAACCGTAATATTCTGTTTGACTATGTATCAAAAAAACATTCACAGCACATTAAAATAAGCACATAGCAGAGTTTATACAAAATTAAGCTCGGCTAGGCCTCACATTCTATAAAACATCGAAGTGCACATCTAGATATAGCGAAAAAAAAAGAAAACACTATTTGGAAAAAAAACAAAAATTTATTTCAATCTACGACATGGAAACCTTAAGTAGCTAACATTTATCATAGCATAAGACTTAACGCTACGGAAACTTGAGTGGAAGCAATTTCTAGTGATTTAAAGTCGGAAAAAAATGGAAAATGTGTTTTAATAGTGTGGCGTAGATACCTACACAAGGATAGTAGGAGACAGTAGGAAGTCCAGTGTCGTGGTAATCGGCCGTTCCTTTCGGTACACAAGTAAGCCTTCCGATCCGTGTGCGTCTTAAAATTAAACAAAGTCTCAGCCTAGTCAGGTTATCAGGTATATTGTCATGCAGTGCGAGTCAAAATGGCGGGTATAAGTGGGAACTCTACAGAGTGAAATGGAAAAAGTTATTTGAAATAAAAAAATTAGAGTACTTTTCCACACAATTTCTTTGGTTTTTGTTTCCAACGTCGGTTTCCGCGAGCCATTCAACTGTGCCAGGCAATTAATTTCCCATTGTCCCTACATTTCGACTGACACCGTATTAAATGGGTGCTTGTATGAATGAACGTTAAATGATATTTGTTCAAAATCGGTTCGTTTTGTGTCCTCCAAAGTGCGTAATTCGGCTTTGTTCGAAAAGTAAAATATTTGAGCCAAAACATGTTTGTTCGCGTTAAATGTACTGTATTTTACTTACCAAGAATCTCCTCGTTATGTACAGTGTAATCTTACCTTACAAAAAATAAACACATAATTCCATATTCAATTATATTCCACTTTCTTACCCCTGGAGGAAAAAAATCCTCAGCGTAATGTTCATGCTCAAGATATCGAAGCTTTGCTTTAAATCTTACACTTTAACCAAACAGTTTTTCAAATTAAACTGTAATTGCAAAATTAACGTCACTATTATAACTTTTGTAAAATATAGTTACATATCTTTTAAAGTAATTGACTCCGTGAAATAAGATTAGAATAATATCGATGCACATATCTGTTTTGTTTCACTAATAGAAGGGTCAGCAATAAGAAAAAAATATCGGCGCCCTAATTCTCGTTTATCGTGTTTCAATTAGGCATAACGAACAATATGAGATCTATCGTGACATCAGTAAACAGGTAATCTGTTCGGCAAATAACAATTGGGGGCAAATGCGGGCAGTCGATAACAAACTTGGCTCAGTACCGGGTCTAAGTCAGTTTGCAGTCGCTGTATTGCCGAAACTTGGTAAAGAAGCTTAATGTTCCTTGTTACGTGCCAATTAAATGATGTCGCTACAAAGCTCTGATTTAGCCAATACACTTTGCTGTTGATAGAAAATAAGATTTTTGAAACTTAGCCCGTGCAACTAGCGCCCGGCTTGATATTATAAGAACCATAGTATCAACTACGGCACAGCGTTCGTCAATGATAACGTCGGGTTAAAGTAATACGCCGCGAATCACGCAGCTCGACGTATTTTTCGGCTTACAAAAAACTTATATTCATCTTCATTTAATTGATGTAACTCTCGAGATTAGGTACGGTACCGTTAACTCATCATTGCAGATATTTTTAAATTGTACGTAATGGATACAAATCCACAAAGTATCAATTCCCAAATAACAAGATTTTTAGTGCGCTGGTGTTTTTTTTTAAGTGATGGATTTGATTAATAGAGCTTCTTCGGTGTGATTCGTTTCCAATCTGTGACACTTAACTTTGCAAAAATTGTTGATTTGTCACATCTTACTTAAGGCTAATGCCATGGTGTAGCGTTAATTATGTATATCTGCATGTAAGGTATGAGATCAAATGATTGAAATACCTCAAATAAGTATTGTTTGCTGTGTATTAAAATATGAGAAATATCGCTAATTACCCAAGACATGCAAAAATAACAGCTTCTTGAAATACAACGTCGAAAAATTTTATTGTTTGAATAACATTATGCTGAAAATTACCATAAGGAGGGGTTTTGGGGTGAAGCCAATTTGCGTGAATTCCTCTTGTGAGTTCAGCCGGCAGGGTTTCGTATTTTCGTTTTTATTTTAACAGTTCCAAAAGGCTAAATATATTAATAGAAGAAATTAAGACGTCACTATGATAATAGAGGAATACGCATAAACAATTAAAAACAAGTACATAAAGTAACACGTCACAAGGTAGTTATTGCAGGCCTGACCTCAACTTCAGACAATTTTACAGATATTTCCTTGATATTACGACATGGAAATTGCATTACCTTCGACAACGAAACTTTCAATGTTGCTGCTATTGGCGATAATTAGTTTAAAACAGAGGTTTTGATATTTATGCAGTCAGGACATGAGTACCTGCATTATGCCACACTAAGAGCGTGCATATCGATTGCTCGCCCGTTCCGTCGGATTTGGTACAACCCATTTGCGATTTGCATAAAGTATTTTCTGTGTGCGTACGCAAACGAGCGAATAAATTGTCAACGTTGTTGAATACAGCTGCAATCTATTTTAGTCGGATAAAATGTCTCTCAGAGTTTTCAGGCCAGACTATAGTTTTATTTCGCACAACAAAAGTTGTTTCCACCGCGCAATATTGAAACAAATAAAAACGGTCTTCGTCCGGTACACGGAGCACTGTTCTATCACGGAGTATGAATCATTTTATAACTGAAGTATAGTAAATCTATTAACTTGTTGAATTTCCAGTAAGAAGTATAAATATTGAAATAGTGTTGGAAACTATCGCGTGCTGGAAACACTTAGATCTGTAAATAGGCACGGGGAGCGAGAGCGTGTGTCCCCTGTGGGGCATTATCACCCACATCTTGTGTTAAATTCTCGAAAGTTAACGGTGCTAGCGTATCGCTTTATGCTTATATTTCACAGTTTGCAACCTTCTCCGGCGATTATGAGAGTTTGTAACTTACAAAACTTAAGAAATTCTGTTTATTAAGTCTTTGAAGAATTTTCATTATAGGGTGTCAATGTTTGGTCATAATGTATTATAAGTTTTTAGAATTCTGCATATAACATGTTAATACATGTTTTAATTACATACAAGCAATATAACATAACGCAGTGATAGGCCAGGACTTGGATAAATGTAACACTTTGAACCTTTTTTTCTTTAGAACATAATACACAACAATTGTGTATTCAAATGTAAGATTACTTACAAGGGATGTGGTTTGAGAGTTAAAGGTAAACCCCAACCGCGAATTTTAACCCTACTCACGTACCCAAGCGGAGTTTACATTTGGAACAAAAGTACAGTTACCATCTGGAGAGGTACAGAGTGTCAATTATAGCACATTTGCAGAAAATTCAACTCTCTACATTCAATGCTAACTCTTATACAACATTATCGGTTCTTTTAAGTCTCCTTCATTGTCCAGATACACATTTACTAAATTTAAAGTCGGGTCGTGTTCAGTGACAATATTGTGAGTTGATATTTCATCCAGTTAACAATTTCATACCTAATATACATACACACTTGGGCAAAAACGACATCCTTGCATTTGCTACGATCCTGACAAACATCTTTGGCCTCATCAACTCTCGCCAATGTCTTCATACACGCTAGTCGGTTAAGGGTACTCTTGACCTGGCCGTTCTTTACGACGTTCTCAATTTGATCGTGGTAAGTTTGCCTTGGGCGGCCATTTACAAAATTACCATTAACCTTATATTTTAATCAGCCTTATATTCCTTCAAATGTTTCAACTTTAATTATGCACAAAGAGAAATTAAACATCCTGCAAGTCAACACAGAAAGTAGGGTATGATTGAACCAAATTCGCCAGCTCGTTTAAAGACTGCATTCCTAATACTATTTTTATATGCAATGGCGAAGCGTGTTGACAAGTGGAGTCCAACCAACCATTATTAGTCCTACCACGTTTATAATAGACATAAATTTAAGTGTTCGTAACATTTTCTCTTCGGCACATGACTATATAGCCGAAATAACTGATACCGCTCCTGCAGACTTTTAAACAACCAGTAGCAGTAAAGATTTATGCAACATCGATTAACCAAGTCCTCGGCAAATAAAATTAAGAATGTAGAGAGAAAACAGACGCGCCAGAGGGAATTCTCTCTGTACAGTCGCTGACCAAGAGAGCAACAAATAAATCGTTGCTGGGGAAAGACAATACCCGTTTTATCCGAGTTGCTACTGAAACAATAACAATTGAAAATATAAAAAGATACAATCGTGTTGACCTCTGTACGTGAATGAGCAAAAAATTAGCAGTGAAAATATTTTTTTAAATGTTATAATATTTGTATATAAACGTGGTGACAACAAAATTATATAAAAATTTAAAAATTTTGCCAAACCTTGTATGCTGTGTAGTCATCATTTAGGTGAAATACTCGTAGATAGCAAACGAATGAATAGGCCAAATTTGCGAACCGTGATTATATGAGCAATGTTTTAAGTGTGTAGGCAAAACGGTGTACAATTTGTGTAAAAAAGTAAAGCGTCCATAACCGTTATGCATTAAATTCCAAAAGCGTGTCTATAAATTAAATAACTTCTGTAAATTAAAAAGTAAACCACAGGCCACAAACTTAACTACTATAAAAATGAGACCAGTAAGTAATAGTAATCCACAAACTATGACAAACGTTATGTCACAATAATCACGCGAGCGAACGATTAACGGCTATTTCTGTTGAGTGCGCTCTGTTCATATTTATTATCAAAGTTATTCCTTATTAATGATTTTATTTCGACGAACAAGTGACAAACTTGTTCATGTGTAGCTTACGTTATCGATCCCTGTACGTTTAACGGAAGCGCTACACGTCGTAGCAAAATCTACGCTTTGCGTAGCAACCACACGTAGCGCGTAATAAATGGTTATTATCGGCAAAACTTAATTACAGGGAGCAATTGATAAATAGCTTTGCAAAAAAATATATCGTACTGGAATACTTTTTCAAAGTTAATTAATACTGTTTTCCTCTATTTCATTATCAAAACCGACATGAATGAGGATATTTTGAACAGTATAGTTACTTAAATGTACACTCGATCAATGTGAAGAGAAATCTTTAAAAATAATTGCCTGAAAGCCCGGATAAGAAAGTATTAAATTTTTTAAGAAAATCCTGCATTGTTTCTGTTCCTCGGTCATGTTCAAGTCGATCCCATTTTATTCCTTTAAAGGGAAATGTAATAGGTTTCATTGATTTTTTTAAACGAATCTATCAATTATATTGAATGGCGGGTACGAAGAAAAATTGAAAGGGAGCGTTAGCGAGTAATGAATAATGATGGAATATTTGGTATGATGAGCGAGGCGGCCCACCGTCGAATCATGTTTACAGTACCTATCATCGTTCATTGAACACGTTTATTTCCTGAGAATTTCTGCTATTTATTACGACATCTCTATAATGTACGATTTTTGAGACATGTTTTACCTGACTTTATGATTTATACCGGTTACAGAATCATCGAGTAAGTGGATGACAGTGGATGACATCGAGTAACTGGCAAATAAAAAATAAAGATATTTCATATAATTATTAACACAAAGATCGAACACCAAGAAAAAATTCCCTCGATCCGGCTAGATTCGAACCAACGTCTTCCAACAAACCATGTCAGGCGCTATGCTAACTAAGCCACGGAACGAACTAGTGGACCTTACGAATTTCGTAACTTTGTTTTTGGTTTTCAACGACTTTTTTAAATTTCATTTATATTCCAAATTGTTACCTATTTAAATTAGTGCTTATCTTACGAGAAATTTACTTGACTAACTATCGAATCGAAAAACCCTGAACAGAACTAATATTTAACATTTTATTAAACCAGATAAAATATAAATCCCAAACATTTTTCTTGAACTTGGCATTAAATTTTCTACGTTTAAGATTTTTATAACACAAACTTTCAACCTCAAGCAGTATCAGCACTTTACGAGAGTTCTAGTTCAAACTTTCTTTATTAAAAGCAAAAGAGGTTTAAAGAATGTTATTAATTCATTTTACTTGTATTTCATAACTATTGATTAAACTCTCGTGATGTTTCGTTAGTTACTGAAAATATGTAAGAATTTCGGTGGCAATAGATAATTTCGTGGAGGCGTAAGGAAAAAAGCCAGAAGTCAGGGAACGTTGGAGTTATCCGTGATATTCGATATAAAATAAATTGAGCAACTTCCTTCCCGCGGGAAATCGTCAAAGATGTGTTCCGACGAGGCAAAGTACTTTTATTTCAAATCAAATGCCACAGTTCTTAGTTTTATACGTTCTAATTTAATCAGTGTGAGTGTTATTGGCGTAGGATCTATATAACATAGTACTAATCTGCTAGCCCCGAGAAGTTGGATAATGAAGATATAAAAGGCTAATCCAAACTAATATTAAAAATGCGAAAGTAAATGATTGTTTCATTTTCGCGGCTTAATCAATTGAAAAATCTCATTAATCTCAGTACAGAGTACTGAAAAAACCGACCTCAAAAGTACTTGGAATTACATCGTAATTACCAAGTTTTATACAAATCGGTTCCCGGAAAGTGCGCAAACCCTCTTTCATCCCCTAGTTAGCCACTATACGGGCCTTGACACAGGAGATAATAAAAATCGGCTCTCACTACTCAAAGTATATTGAGAGAGAAAACGCTTTGAATTGGAGAATAGCAAAATCAACCATTAAAAAATTTGCTTCATAAAATTTAGGCGCTATTTATAAAAATGAATCTTCATGCATACATGGGACCCTCTTTCCAACAAAAAAGTATCATGAAAATCGGTTCACAAATGCAAAACCAAATAGTCGAATTGAGAACCACCTCCTTTTTTGAAGTCGGTTAAAAAACTGATGAATTTTGGCATAGAGATAGATGGGACCCAGGAGAAAGATTTTTTTTAGGACCTTTTGCCTTATAAAAAAATTATAAACCTTAAAGGGGGTGAAAGTTTGTACACAACAAATCATTTCTCAAATAGTACAGTATACTACTCGAAAAACTTATTCTACGCAGACGAAGTCGCTGGCACCAGCTAGTATTATAATATTGTTACATTATTTTATTATACATAGAACTGTCACGTAATATTCACAAACCCAATTAGCTCCAGCGGTGTAACCCACCACGCAGCGGATTTCTAATCACACACAAAATAGCGCACACTAAGCACCGTGTTTTCACACGTCCAAAATGAGTGACCTTTGTCGGCGAGAAATAACAAGTAAAAAATTAAAATAGAAACGCATAGGTGCAGGCGAGAAAAATTATATTATTGACATGTAGCGTCTTAGTCGGTGTTTGTTTGAATTGAAACTTTACGAAAGTATAATATAAATAAATAGATTATATATATTTTGAAATTAGCAGTTTGCTCCCTGTTTTCATTTTGAAGTTTAGTGAAGGTGGGAGTAGATATTGTAACATTTCTGAATAATAGCTTGGAAAGACAAATTTGTTTTGTTTTAAGTGCTTATGAAGTAACACAATTCTGTTCTTTTATTTAGTAGTAAGTATTGACCGGAAAAGTCCCAAATTTCAAAGTTTTCTGCGGCTGTTTGCTTAATTAAAGAATCCACTTTTACGTTTCTTCGCCACTTTAATAGTGTATTGACACAAACTATGCTCAATTACAAAAAAGAGTAAATGTATACGATTTTAAAATGAAGTTTTTGTAAGCATAATTGCTAACAGGAATATTTTAAAGCCTGATTGTTGAATTTGGTTGTAAACCATCAGAAACTCAGAATCTTGAGAACTTAAATACTAAAGAGAAGAGAGGTATTATGTACAAGAGTACTGTCAAATAAACCCCATCTTGTTGGCAGAGTTGTAGAACACTTATAAAGGTGGCAGAATCCACTTCAAGTTCAAGTGAACAAACGAAGCCTTTTGTTACTGAGGATGAAAGTGTAGCAGTCTAAAACGTTATCGCTCTTGTTCAATATAATGGCGCGATGGCTTACTTGAAGCAATTCGGGTCGGGTCAATGGCTAATCGTGGCGCGATTGTAGAGGGGTCCGTGTGCTCCGACCGTCTACAGCGCTCTACTCCACTTTTGTGATTTTTCTATCTCTCATCGGCAATGCCTAGTACATCATACGTTTATTGTCCATTAATTCTGTTAAAATAGGTCAAGGTCATTAATTATTCACAGATCATTAAATTTTATGTAACATTTAAAAGCTCGTATTATAAATGACTAGATTAATTTTCACGCTGCAGAAGAGCCTCTTGACAAATTGATAGCCGCTCTGCAGTTTAATTAAACTTTATGAACACAATGTTTGCATACTTAATTTGTTCTAAACAAACTTATTATTACCAAAGTTCTTTAAGCTAAGGCGTTTTATGTGAGTAATATGTTAGTGGAAAGTGGTGGTTCGGTTATATGACGAGGGTATAAGAAAGGATAGGAGTATCGTCGCGCGGGCGGAAGTCCTCACCCGCTGGGCATTCGTTAATTCGGACTAATCTTGCTTCACAATCGACGGCGAACAAAGCCGTAGCTCGTTATACGCAATATACCTACGAATATAAATCCTGACTGGAGTATAATAAACGTGAACAGTTAAAATAACAGGCGACTTAAATCTCTATAAACATAGAAAGCGGAAACGTTTTAGACTATTTTAGTTTCAACGAACTAACATCGACGTGTATTGTATAGTTTTTAAAATAAAGGAAGTTGCAAAGTTCGACTAACATGCACAAACATCAAGGAGGCATACAGACAGTTAGACAGTTCTCTGACAAACAAGTAAAGCCAGAGGTCGCATGCAGGGTGCCAAACAAGCGACACCAAAGTGCATAGTTGCAACATCGATAACACTAATTATTCCTTATTGTCGATAAGTCGCGACAACCATAATCTAGGACACATAGCACCACTGAAGCTGAGTCATGGCGATGGCCGTGGAGAGTTCCGTACATGATCTCATAAATTCCCAAGTGTTCCAATGAAAGTAGACAGTCAAACGCCCCCACAGCTTGCGCGAATGTCACCGACTTCGCCCTTCAAATGATGCGTAGGCATTTAATTGATCTAAGTTGGACTTACCCACGCCAGCTGCAACAATCTACGATATAACCGACCAGTATCAGAAATCAACAGCTACCTCCTACACAATACTGTAGTTTCGACATTAGAGACGTCTAAAGATATCTACAGAACAACAATCCGAAGACAGAAAGCCATACCGACGAGACAACCATACCAGCCTTAAAATCAGAGTATAACAACATTGACGATAGAACAGAAACATCAAGACAGACTGCAGCTACACTCAAGAGTAAACGTTATCATACAGCCGTGTGCGTCTATACTCATTCCGCAACCTACTGTTAAATTACAATACATTATTAATATTCTTAGAAAAACAGTGCTTCAAAAAGACACTCCTCAGTGTAGCTTCAGTTTTAAGCTTAATTTTTAACACTTACTTTCATCTGATTGCGGCGCTGATAAAATGGCGCTGTGCTTCTTCTTCACCTCTTCGACGTTAGCCTGAATCTTGTCTATCATCTCTCGTATCTCTTCCACCTGGACAGAAGTATATTACATATTAAATTTTCAGAAGTACAATTTTCTAATAAATATTTTAGCATTTAAAGAAACAGCATCCAGGGCATTTATGGTCATAAATCTGAAAGGTTTTCTTTACTTTACGAGAACTTTTAAATAGACCGGAAGCTCGTTACTCGTGGCTTTAGTGCGGCCGGCCGTTTCATAATGAAAGCTATAGCATCTAGTTGTTAATTACTAACGCTGAGCTCTTTAGTGCAGTTTGCCGTTTATCTCAGGCACGGTTCGCTACTGCCAGGTGCCGCACTAGAAGCGACACTGGCTCTTAACCAGACACTTCTCCGTATCTATTTCAGCCTGTACCTTATACAAAACTTTAGAATATAAATCTACACCTAAACCCTTCAAGGCTTCAAGCAAAGCCTTCTATAAATAGATCAATCAAACTAAGGATTAGTTAACGAAAATCGACGATCAGAATTTCAATTTAAGACTAAATTTCCTTATAACCATTGGATTTTGCTTATCCCAGCTCGAATAAAGTCCTATTGTCCTTTAAGAATTTACCGTTTATTTTACTAACGCAGGTTTTTGCAGAAAACGATTGCTATTTGTAGACCTTCATAATTGCCTGATAATTTGTTTAGCCGATATCAAATTAAGCTAATTAAAACGGCAACTCCGGTTATAAATTCATATGTGATCAGGTACAGACAGCCTTCCATGCGACTGAAATCAGTTGGCTTTGTGATTTGCAGATAGGTGTGTAAACCAGTCGTGAAGCCGAATCTGGGTTAACTAATGTCAGATTGATCTATCTGACAAGAGACATCACCATGAACTGCTAAATTATGCAGTTGTAGGCTGTAGCCCTGTGATTAGGCAACCAGTGGCGGGAGCAGGGAAGTACCACACAGCATTACGCCTGGTTTTAAGGTCACTGGCAAGAGTCCAACCTCAGAGTAAATGCCTCACAAATGCTTAGTTAAACGTGTTGGGCTCACCGAAACAAACAAACAATTTTTCTAATTACTCTGCACTTATAAACTAAATGCTTTTCATACATTCACAACCGTTTACTATTTCAACGCTAACGTTATAGAATCCCTGTGATTCACAAATAATACGTCACGCATATTGTTGCGGGAAATCTATTGCATTTCAAGTATTAGTCATCAAACAGGAAACAATCCAGTGGGTTGCTCGATTTACAGAATGTCATCGGATAAAGCCGAAATCAAGTTCAAAAGTGAGCGAGATGTTGGCGGGTCGATACGTTACGCGGTAAAGTCGACTGAGTCAGCAATTAATCAGATTACGCGATTACGGCTATCGTCCGCTCATTTGATAGCTGACAATCGCCTTTGTTCACCAGTGTTGCGTTCATAAAAGCATTACATACGGAATGCTTTGCGCGTATTATAAATGATTTAAACGTCTTATTCAGAAATAATACTCGTATGTTTGTCAATAATAATTAACAGTCACAATAAGTTTGTCTAGAACAATGTTGTCTTTTTCCTGTTCTTATCAAAATATTTTAATTATAAAATACTTGATTGTGAGAAACGACGAAACAAACGACATGGTGGTGCAAATAGAATGCGCGGGGAGACGCTATCACATAACACACAATAACATGTAAATGAATTGCAAGATTATGATGAACGCGCTCCACTGGCTGAATATTTATGGCAGACTCGCTGCGGATTAAATATCGCGTACAGGATTCACGGCACGTTACCAAAACGGAACCCATTACTCTGTTGTCATGCGAGAGAAACAAAAACTTGTTAAATATCAAGGACCATGTGCCTCCAAGAGCTAGGGGTAGGTTCATGGAATGAAATATTATACTTATAGAGCGTACCAATATACCTACTTCAGCGTTTTTTAGAATGCTTCACATTTACAACGATTGATTTTCATTACAGTACCGCAGGCCTGAAAGACCTATAAATTTTACAAAAGACGAATTTCAATGGGTGCACGATGTGATTTAGCCACGATCGCACCAGAACGACACACTTGGCACGGGCCAGGTAATAACGTTCTTCCACACAATACCTAGAGTTTTCCCGCGATAAGTCGACTGCTTCGTGTCTACTATATCTATAAAGCTTGGAACTTAGTCGAATGCATAATAATGTGGGAGAGACTCAAACACTTGAATTAATCTTTAATGCAACTACATAAATAGGTACATCTTAAACGGATACATGTTTTTTTAATAACACCAAGTGATGGGACGAACAAGTCGGGCACCTGGCGATAAGCGACACGCCTATGCATAACAGTTGCAATGCCACTTAGAGTTTTAAATCGCAAAGATCTTAGGGGCACTGCCATTGCGCCTGTCACCCTGAAACATTATATTATAAATTGACAAGTCCCATATACCTGTAATTTCACCAGCACCCTTTAAACCAGAACGTAGAAATGCTCTCATCACTGCTTGGCGGCAGAAATAGGTAACATGGCAGTACTTCCCGACGAACTCTTTCACAAGGAGCACTACTGCTACTAAAATATCGATGTAAACATCGATAGTGATAGTGTCCTTAATAAATATGTGACTCAAAAAACAAATAAGGTTTATCAAACTACATAACCATTCCGAGATTTCAATATGAAAAAAGAAAATACTCATACTGAATAATGACTAAGTGGTCACTTACTTTGTTTCCTATACAGTTGAATAGAATGCCTGCTCAATTCAAAAACGTATCACGTGATTGGATCTTAATAAAATCATAAAATAAACCACTTTTTCTATATAAAGAAAGTTATAAATAAACTCGCGCCGAGGGATTTCCGTTTATTAAACGAAGGCATATGTTAACAAATTATATGTATAGATAAAAAATGACGCGACCCAATTTTTTTGGAATGTATTTTTGTGAAATGACTTGGTGGCAGAATATAAAGATATTTTGCATGCGAAGGGGGCAACACCTCATATGATATAGGTTATTATGTATGATGTATCGGCTTTTCACCATTGCGTATGTATTTCATTCTGAATAAACGAAAAAAAGTCATTCAATCTTTTCTCATTCAATATACGTATTGTTTCTAGTGAAGAACAAAAAAAGCTTTTTAGTAGCACGTCAATCAGAAACAATAAGCAAATCACAATGCAAAGTAACCCGACGTCAGTACAGTATGAAACGGTTGACCCAATTTAAAACATTGGATTTCAATTAAAATTTACACCGCAACGTCCGCTACACATGTTGCGAATCGAACATTTTCTACGATCAATCTTTGCTTCGAAATTTGAAATTACAAATTAATTCACTAATTTCATTGTAACAGGTTTATTATTATTGTTTCGGTTTCGGGAATCTATTTTAGATTCTCTCTCCCATGGCCTAAGATATATTTTTAATTCTTAAATAGGATAGGTGGAATGCCCTGGTAATATTATTGTTGCGGACCGGCTACTGGACGGGGCAGATATAAATCTTTTTAGTTATTTTCTATGTCTCATTGTTTATGTATGTTTGTGCCTATTTTGCGTTCGTTTCTGTTTTTCTGTTTAACTAGTTTTTATCTAAATTATAATTTTATTTTGTTTTACTTTGAGTTTGATTTTCCGACTGCTCCATAACAATTATTATTATCTTTTTTGTCTATTTAAGATTCTCGCCTCTCTCATGACCTAAATATAATTTTGAACTTTTAAGTGAGAGAGGCGGAATACCCTGGCATTATTATTATTATTATTATTGTTATGTATTTTAAATAGTTACGTGGTCCATGCCTAGACAAATTTTGAATTTTTTAATGCGATGGGCGGAATTTCCTGACAATGGCGCATTATTATTATTAATGTATTGGTAAGCGATCCTCGACTGACTGACTAATCGCATTCAAGATGACGTCATCTTTAAAGACCCGTCATGACTTCATGACCTACGATCCTACGCTTATCGATGAATCACTCAGTTCAAAGCCCAGTATCTATAACGTAGCAAGACAGTATTGTAGATTTATTTTAAACGTAGTATTTTATTGAAGAAATTCAATTGCACCTGTACAAAGAATGTAAACTATGTCTTTGACATATAATATTTCCTTTGGCGATTTTCCCCCCATAAATGAGCAATGAGGAAGACAAGAGAGCAATAATATCCACCACTCTCACTAATTGAACCCACTACATTGCCCAACTGCTCTCGGTGGATATGGAGTACGACTTTGAATGGACGAAAAAGTAACCAATATTATGTATGTTGCTTACTATTGCCGAGTACGTCGCCTAACGTTGTTTAGTTTAGTAAATTAATTGACTTTTATGATTTACTCCACTATAATTATTTTTTGCCATAAAGGTCAAATTTGCTATTGTCGTAGTAGGTACGTATATAAACTTTTAATAAATGAACAAAAATTAAAAAGTTGTGGTCAGCCTACTCGTCTGGCCAGCCAATTACCTACCAGATTCGAAATCACAGCCTCCTGATTTATGAATGGAGTTTCAGAGAAAAATGCTTTTGAGAGGGAAAAAGCGAAAAACAATTTATTTTCCCAATGTCTATTAGCGATACTGTAAAGCTTATTAATTTCACTTATTGGCGAAGCTCGATAAAGGAAAAGGTTCTTAATTCAATCACAGCAATATTTCTGGAAGAATTTAAATAAAGTTAAAACTTTCACCACGTAAATCTATCGAAGCAATTAGTTGTTTAAGCAAATTAATCTGTCGTTTGATCACAGTATTAAATTGACGCCCCCGTGCGTGACGGGTTCCTTTCAGGACGTACGTTCAACCCGACAATATGAACACGCAACTAACGACTGCTTTAGTGTTGTAAGCAGTAACGTAAATTTACCAATATGATTCATTAGTTTGGTGACAGGACAATAGAGAGCAACAAGCTGAAATTTTCATGTAGCTGCGTGCAGTCCACCACACATGTGCTACGGTTCTGTATAAAAGTGCAGTGACACGATTGAAAATCAATGTATTGTACGTTGTGTCGAGTAGGCTGTATACGGAGAGGCACGGCAACATGTGAAGATATTTTGTTCATTCGCGAGCTACCGGGACCGACTTTTCCTCTGTGCAGCTACAGCAACTTTACTGGCACATATGCTAGAAGAGATTTATGTAAACTTGGAATCGGCAGTGTTAATGTGTACGACAAATTATTGCAATAATTAATGTCAAAACTTTTGTATATTACGTTTTCTGTTTATTGTCAAAGAGTTGTAATGAACGAAAATGAAAAGAAAAAAACACACGCATTTATTGATTTTTTTCATCGTAGTGTCTCACAAGGTTGCACAGTGGAATAATAACATTGGCTGTCCTAGTTTAATTGTCTTCAAAATAATTTGCATGTTCTCTTATAATCGATAACGGGTCAACCGCCTTGAACAACATTATTCAGTACAACGCATAGAACATACTAAGAGGTGTAATAAGTAAAAAGATAAGCAAGAAGTCTAATGGATACAGTACCTCCGTATAACAAATCACGTACACAGATATTGCTCAGCCTTAAGCTTCTATCGAATTATCAGCATGGTTTCTAGGAAATAGTATGTAACAAGTGAAATTGTATAATTTTTTTCCAAATTTCAACATTTATCAAAATAATATAAAATATGTACATATATTCAGTTTTTATTGCGAGATTTTATTTGGAGTTTTTATTGAGTGATTGTCTGAAATTGATCCCGCCCAAAATAGGTTCTGGGCCAACCGAATTAATTAAATGAACGTGTAAGCCTTTAATTCAACACGTGTTTGGATCATGCAAGACTTTAATAAACACTGATTACTTTTGCAACCTTGGGATTAGTCGCGGTTTATAAACCTCCATAATTTGCGGACAACAAACCTAAACTATGCTTAACACATCGCACCTCCGGTGAATCAGTGACTTAAATTACATTTGCTAAAACAGAAAATGAGTTAAAAGTTCTATTTTTGTTTTTAGGGATACTAAGCACGTTTGAAGAGCTCTTAAATGTTATACTATTTCAATGAGCATTTAGTCTATAGCGGAAAAATTAAGGAATGCATGCTATGCTTCTGTTTTTTCTTGAATAAATTTCAATGTTAAGTCACTCGCATATTTTGCAATATACTTTGTATTCTACATGCGACTAGTTCTTGGGTTTTATTTTGAAACCCCATAATACTAAAATAAGGGTACTGACTCACCTCACTAAAGAATTCATCCATGAAGCCGCCTTCAACGGCGACATTGACATCGTCAGGCCCGACATCGTCATCGTCGCTTTGCGCCTATAAAAAAATGAAATAGTACAAATTTTATTTTCACAAAATCAACTCATAAGACAATTGAATACTTTGGAATTCGAAAAGTTACAAATGGACAGTAACAAAAGCTCCGAAAAGTAAATTACAAATGAGCTTATTCAAAATATGAATATTACTGTTTTATTTACTATAAGCCACAGAAAACTTTTGTGCAAATAAAAATACGGCAGGAACCGATTGAAATACTGACAATTCCGAAACTTTGATTTCGTTTCATGTTTATCGTAAATGCTCTATCATAAATTTAAAAGCGACCTTATATATTTCATAAACTTTAGTGCTTATTAAACTATTAGGGGTTAAAGTATGAAATTGCCGTTTTATTGCAATAGGTTCTTTGAATTTTCATAGAATCTTCATGGTTTGAGGTTTTCGAATGAAACTTTTTTCAAATGGTTTCTGTGATTTTTTTTTTAAATTTGAAACATTTGAATATCGACTTTCAATTGTTTTTGTTATTCAATTTAGACAAGAAAGATGGATACTGCGAAAATTCGAGTGATTTTTGAATACGAGTTCCGACGCGGAACTAACGCGGCAGAAACAGCCCGCAATATAAATGCTGCGTTTGGAGAGGGATCTACTAATGAACGCACCGTGCGATTTTGGTTTAAACGCTTTCTTGATGGAAATTTCGACTTAAAGAACGAGTCACGAGGAAGACCGCCCACACAGGTGAATAACGATGAATTAAGAGAGATAGTGGAAGCCGATCCTGGTCAAACTACCCAGGAATTAGCGGCATGGTTTAACGTTACCTTACCCACAATATTGACTCACTTGCGTCAAATCAATAAAATAAAAAAATACGAAAAATGCGTGCCTCATGATTTGACTTATCTGCAGAAAGAAACGCGTGTTGAAACTTGTGTTGCCTTGTTGAACCGGTACAGAAATGAAGGAATATTGGATCGAATTGTAACATGTGATGAAAAGTCGATTCTTTATGATAACCGGAAAAGAAAAATGCAATAGCTGACCCCAGGTCAAATGCCACAACAGTGTCCTAAAGCAAAACTTACCAATAAAAAGGTAATGGTAACTGTTTGGTGGTCTCAGCATGGTGTTATTCACTATAGTTTTCTCCGATCTGGTCAAGCAATAACGGCAGATGTCTATTGTGCCGAACTCCGAACCATGTTGACAAAACTAGCAGTAAAACAGCCCCGACTCATGAATCGATCTTCACCATTATTGCTCCACGACAACGCGAGACCTCACACAGCACGAGAAACCATTTTGACCCTTCAGGAACTGCAGTTAGAAACCATTCGTCATCCTCCGTTATCACCAGACCTTGCTCCAACGGACTACCATTTTTTTCGTGATTTGGACAATTATCTACGTGACAAGAAGTTTTCTTCCCAGGAGGCAGTACAAAATGCTTTCACACAGTTTGTGCAGTCTAGATCGTCGGAGTTCTATCGCAAAGGCATTAATAACCTTCCCATTAGATGGCAGCAATGTATAGATAATAATGGCAACTATTTTGATTAAATAAATTTGTTAAAAATTAAAAAAATAAACAATTTAGATTTTCAGTACAAATCGGCAATTTCATACTTTAACCCCATTGACTTACAAATATATGGACGTCGGGTCCGCGCTAAAAAGTGTCCGCACTTGTAAGGCGCTAAAATCGTATACAGAGCGCGACACTCCGCTTTAGTCTTCATTTGTTCTACTGATAGCGAGATACTGCGATGACATTACAATTTAAATTTCGAATAGGTTGACTTGGGACATTTTTTTCGTGGATTTTGTATTAGACCCGTCGTCCATTTATTTGTAAGTCAATGTTTAACCCCTATTATTTCTTCATATGAAAATACTATTATGAGTGACAACAAAAGAACTCTTAAAAATAATGAAATTGCACGTTTTTTAGTTACTTTTTGTTCAATTACATTATATAATCATTTACATATTGAAAAAGTTCTTAAAATGATAAAACATGACACTAAGCGGAAGGTTGGAAATAGGTAGCAGAAGGGGAATTAAGTTTTGTCCAGAAAGACTTCCGCGTTTATAAAAAAAACTAAGTAGGAAGTCTAAGTAGGTTCCTAACCTAAATCGATCATATTTGTTTCAATTGACAAAGATTTCCGCGTTCATGTAAAATTTTAAAACTGACAGCCTTGAAACTAAAATTCGACAAAAAAATTGTCAAGATGGCGTCGCGATTGAAACTCGTACTCGCATGTCCGGTCGCAGTCGAATGGGTAGTAAATTAAAAATTGATATTTAAAAAATAAATCTATGAACAATAATGTAACTTATGCTTGATCTATAGTTTGGTTACTTTAATTGATCATTTCGATGTATTTATCTATTTTTTCTACATGAAATAATTGAAGTCATATTTCGAAAACTTTTCCAAATAATCTTCGATGCATGGTTGCCAGTGAAGTTCCATCGACTGTAACCAATTGCACATATAACATTTTTTGCACCATACTTTTCTTAAAAATAATAATGTATGTTAATTTTTGTATGATATTTTCACTTTTTGTGTGAGATTATTGAGAGCAAAAAATAAAAATACACATACTTGTTTCATTAATTTATGTCTTACGCATTTTCTGTTTTACCTATCGTACTTGTAAATGTAATCTGTGTGTATACGACATGTTAAGCCGCCGTACCCGCGGTCACATTCATTTGGATTTTTTTTAAGATAAAGCCTGTTTGAGTTCCCTTTTTAAATGTTCACTGTTTCTTTACAATTGAAGTGGGATCCTCAGGTTAGTCTTTCCAAAATTTTAAGTTGGTGAGAAGTAAGTTACTATTAATCAGTTTATATATATTATACATATAAACGATTTTTTTATTAATATCAAGGACAAATTCTAAACATGCCATAAAATAGACCCCGTGCATTTTTTACACGACTATCGCACGGATATCGACGATACAATTATGTGAATATTTGCCCGTGACACGTGTTTTGTGATTTTTTGCAACTTACCGTAAATATTCTTAAAAAAACGTATCCAATTATTTCAAGTGATAAAAATTTAAAACTCAGAGCTACCAGAAAAACGTTCAGTTTGACGTGAAACGAGTGTTACGTAATTATAACCTAACCAAATTAAATGCACACTAGAACCAGGCTACATTATTGTGGCCGCATTGGTGCAGTTTACGTTATATATAACCTCAATTTCCAGCTTTGTTTTTCAATTGTAAGAACCAATAAAACAGACACGAAACCTTTCAAACACGTAATCCAAGTGGTACAACATGATCATTACGAAAACTGAATGTTTACGTTGGCTGCCAGAGAGGCTTAACTTTCGTGATTCGCAAGTAAGCCAGGGACCGACGACGACGGGCGGCTCACGTAAGGCAAAATAGAATCCACTTAGTTGAGGCGAGTTAGCCATTATTCAATTTATACTGGCCGCCCGCGACCCCGAAAGGCCTGCTACCGGTACGAAATGCTTTAAGGGGACTACTGTCCTCAATTATGGACACCCATAGCTAATAAGCTGGTAAAGGCGTACGTAAGGTAACAATAATTGGCCCTACTTCGCATTTAACATCAAGATCCATTAATATAACTTTTAGTCGTATTCTTTAGCGCAATACTGGGAACTAATTACCAAAGGTGTAAAGTAGGTTATGAAATTGTTTTCCAATTTCCAACTAAACAACTACGAAGCGAGTGCATCAGCGTGAATTCTTTGTTTCACTGCCAGTAGTGGTACGTATGTAGGTCATTGACGACACGGGGTCGGCCGCGTTGCGATAATGCGTCGTTTTACCATTAATTCAGGGGAGCGCTCGACATAGCAACTTCCATTAGTGGATAGCTCCACTTCATTATGAGTGGTTTTTACAGTCATTAACACCGGGCTGTCGTGTTTTCTAGACATCAGATGCGATCAATCTCTTCCAACGGGCCTACAGCCGTTGTTTAATTTAATTGTCACCTCACCTTTCAAGGCCGCCGTTGTTGTAAACTGCCTCTAGACGAGATTTAAAATCGCCGACACCACAGCAAGAAACACTGATGGGCACAACACAACAAAACAATTTTATTTTAATTTCCAAATTAAAATAATGATGAGAAATATCATCGTTATGTTACTTCACAAAGTGATGGAACACACCGTTGTTACAAAGTTTACGGATTTTCCATTCAATGCTTATTTGCTGCATAGAGCAATAAATAGCATTGTGTATCATAATACTTTTTCAGCATATCTGAATTCTTCTCCTCTTTATCTGAATTATAAAAACAATATATCTTTTCAAAGTATTTATGATTCATAGATAAAGATTGATCGGAATGTTATGATAACCAGATAAAACTGGATTCTATAAAAATATTTGTTTCAATTTTGACTGAGCTTTACACGAAACGAATATTAAGCGGTAACACGTGTAGGACCCAGTAAAGCATAATCACTTCGTTAAGTTCACAGCAGCGTGAGAGTGAGAGATATCCCTGTTATAAATGTATTTTAAAATTACCATCCTATATTGTGTCCTACATCCTATATTTTTACAACGCATGTTATAATCGAGCCTGATGAGAAAATGTTAATTATTTAGTTAAGCCTTCAGGCGAATGTTCCTTTATTCAGTACCCTTTTGTAGTCATCCCCGAATTTGCTAAATAAAAGAACGTTATTTTGTTCGGAAATCTTTTACATGTATATTATTTTAGTAAATGGACGCTTTAGGATTAGTAGCAGTGACATTTACAATTTTGTGATTACGGTTAATTATTATTATTGCCTGGTCTCAAACTAGGGTATTCCCTATAGTAGGTACGAGTACTAAAGCAACGGTATACACAGTGGGACACTTATCAAAACACTCAGACAATCAGAACCAATTTAGAGAAGTTCATTTTTTAAACTGATTCTACCAGAAATCGAACACGGGACCTCCTCATCCTGTGCCCACAGTGCAAACCGTTGGGCCACCGAGCTTTTATTACTTTGTAAGCCCTG